ATATATATATATATATATATATATATATATATATATATATATATATATATATATATATATATATATATATATAAACCTAATTGATCAAACTCAACAGGTGGGACTGGGACTAGCTGATCGACTGCTTCACACTGAACAAGACAAGAGCACTTCCTTCTGGTTGGCTCCGAGGTCAGTTTGTTTTGCAGTAAAGCATGAAAATCAACTTCAAAACTGTTTTATCATTTCCTTCAAAGTGTGGGTGAAAAACTGCTGCCCCCGCATCCCTAGTATGGTTCAACACATCGCTTACCTGCTCTGTCTGTCCCTCATTCTTTTGTTTTTTGTAAGGCTCAAAGAGAATCACTGTCTTACTATATCCATTTTTTTCTCTTCCTGAAGTCCTTTTTTTCTTTTTTGAGGAGATTTATAAACTGTGTTGTTGTTTTTGCAAGGCTCAAAGAGAATCACTACTTAATTTGTTTTCTGTCCCTCTGAATCTGGTTTTATTCATTGTTTTTGCACGAGTCTGTCCCTATGTGTGACTCCAAAACTGTCTCTTTTCCCGTGCAATAATAGACTTAATTTAGTATTTTCCCCCAAAGCGGATGGTTTACTTGGTAAACGCGTCTCTGAATTGCTCTGTAGTCCCACTAAAATAGACCTGGGGATCTACCTCAGTCGAATGTACGCAGCCACCTAGCATAACATCGTCCGATACAATTTTCTGTTGGATCGGACACAAAATCGGATTCGTTTTGTTCTGGCCTTTAGCCAGTTAGCAGGGCTAACGCTTATCCTCGCTGAGGAGGCTGGATTATAGTGAGCTCTCTCATGTCCCCTTTCCCCCTTGGTAGTTTTCAGGTGTGTATAGTTATGAACCTCAGCACTGCCACTACTCACCAACAAAGAGTAACCGTTTTATCTCTTTTGGGCTTGTTCATTAATAAAACCCTTTTGCAATCAGTTTTAAATAAGAAAAATGTTAAATAAGCAATCAGCTTAAAACGATTAAGTATTACTCTGTCGGTTGTATTTTATAGACACATATTTACAGACCAACCTTTATATGGCATGTTAATTTGGACAGAAAATATCTGAATTCTGTCTCCCCCTAACCGAATGTTTAGCAGATTTTGAAACACCTAGCCAGGGCAGCTTGAACACATCATCAGTGAAGGACCCGGGGTCATAGGGTGTTTGGGTTCTTTGATTTTCAGGCACCCTTGTTTGGGCAACCCAACTGGAGTTGATCAGGCCCCAGTTTGTGTTCAAGCAGTGCACTATTCCATGCGTCTCCCCTCTTGATCCACAGCCACCTCGAGGCTCTTTCAGCGGCCTCACTGATGTTTCTGGTGGCTCTTTTTTTAAGCAACCCTCTGATGCCAAGATTTGAATGTCCGATGCACGGTCTGACTGAAGAAGCCTCTGCAGCCCACTTCTACTGGCTCACAGCGGGCCCTCCATCCATGGCATCTGCATGCCTCAATCAGCTCAAGATATTATGCCTTCTTCCTTTTGTGAGCCTCCTCCATCCTGTCTTACCAGAGGACTGTAAGCTCCAGTAACACGACTTGCTTTGTCGAGTCGGATGTTAAGATCAGATCTGGCCTCAGTGACGTCCTTGCAACGTGCTCTGGGAACTTTAGCTGCCTTCTGAGGTCCACATGCAACCGCCAATCCCGAGCCATGGCTAGCAGTCTAGGTGTGCCCTTACCTGCTCTCTCAGGTTCCTCCCCTGCCCTGACAAAGAAGATGTTGTGCCTCAAAGGAGACTGGTGCTTTGACTCCAGGATTCCAGTGCAGATGATGTCTGCTACTCCTTTCAACACCTGGTTATGGCGCGACGTGTTAGGGCAGCAGCTCAGGATATGCTCCAGTAGGCATGTTGGTGCTTCTGCAAGGCCCCAGGTATAAAGGTGAGATAGACTTGGAAGGACATCATACACCAGACTGATCAGGAACTTAAGTCTTATTGGTTCATACTTCGAAAGTTTTGTCCAGGTGATCTTCCCAGCAGATGCATACTCCCAACTGGTCCTTGCTGGCGCATTGCCATCGTCCTACTTTGGAGTTCCTCCACCTCTGCACAAATCTCTCCATGTACCATCTGTCCTCACTCTTGTTCATGGGCTTGGTCGTAGCGTGGCTTTGTGTGGCTACCTAGACCAGCTCGTCCAACTGCCACAGAGCCAACTAAGACGCTATGTCTCAGTCTCGCTTCTGCTTGGTTGACTGCCTGTTATATTCACCATTTCCTCCCAGTTCTGACTTTGATGCCGGCAGAAGAGACTCTGGCATCAGCAGAGTCTCTGTAAAGCAACACCTCCCTCACGCCAGTCAAAGGAAGCTGCAGCTTGTTGGAGTGCCCATTGATGGCAATGTTGCTGAAGCTCTTTGGTAGACCCGGAAAACTACGTAGGTATTGGCTTCTCCGACACTGTGGGAATTGGGACTCCATCCACATAGAAGCGGTATTGGTCCTCCACTTTCCCCTTCCTCAGGACAAGGGATCTGGACTTGGCTGGCTTAAACATCATCCTTGCCCATGCCATGATCCTTTCCAGACCGCGGAGGAGCCACCAGCATCCAGTCACTGATGTTGATGTGACAGTCAGGTGATCCATGTAGGCCTTAAAGGAATAGTACACCTAAAATATGATTAGCCTTCATTTTCTACTCACCCCCATGCTGAACAACACTCTGGAGTACTTTTTTGATATCTCAAATGCATCTGGAAATCTGGGAGGCTTCTTGCTGTCTGCTGACATTCAAATAATGGAGGTCTGTGGCGCCCGAGGCAGAAAGGTCCATAAAAGTCCACAAAAAACGTGTCAATATTCCTCCATACTGCTCGTCCAATGTATTCCAAGTGTCCTGAGTGGGTAGCGTCCATAATTTACTCGAAACTAAGTCATTTAGAATGTTTTTAGAGCATAAACAGTAGTGTATAGGATTTCCTAAAAGCGCGTTCACGAGTTTACGGAAACCGCGGCAGACCAAACCAGACGAAAGTGCGCATTCAGCGTCTGCTCTGCCGATAATGCAAGTGTAGAAGAAGAAATGTGCTGTTTACCTGTGCAAAGAAAGAAACAACGAAAGAAAAATGTCTGAGGACTTCAGTGATGAGGAAGGGCATGAGTTCTTTGCCGAGCTGAATGCGCACTTTCGTCTGGTTTGGTCTGCCGCGGTTTCCGTAGACTCGTGAACACGCTTTTAGGAAATCCTATACACTACTGTTTATGCTCTAAAAACATTCTAAATGACTTAGTTTCGAGTAAATTATGGACGCTACCCACTCAGGACACTTGGAATACATTGGACGAGCAGTATGGAGGAATATTGACACGTTTTTTGTGGACTTTTATGGACCTTTCTGCCTCGGGCACCATAGACCTCCATTATTTGAATGTCAGCAGACAGCAAGAAGCCTCCCAGATCTCCAGATGCATTTGAGATATCAAAAAAGTACTCCAGAGTGTTGTTCAGCATGGGGGTGAGTAGAAAATGAAGGCTAATCATGTTTTGGGTGTACTATTCCTTTAATTGGTGGTTGGTGAATGCCGGATCTGGACAAGGGGCCCCCACATTCCACTTCTGCAGCCTTGACCAGCATGTTCATTGCTAGGGCAAATAACACCAATGATATGGTGCAATAATTAACTGTTCAAAATCTCTGTCATGCAACAGATAACCATTTCACTAGAGGTTTCTTCCTGTTAACGGGGACTTTTTCCTCTCCACTGTCACTACAGGCATGGTTGATGTGAAGGAATACACTTTTGCGTCAATAAGTAGATGCAATCAGCTGGTTTTCCTTAGAAAACTTTGAACCAATCTTGCTGTATGATGTGGTTGAATCGTCTCTGTGCCTTGAGATGACATGTTTTTTAAATTGGTGCTATAGAAATAAGCTGAACTGAATGGAACTCATTAAAGAATGCACTCTAAATGTGACAAAAAATTGGCGGAAATGTTAAGAGGACATCTGACATGGGAAACCAGAATATGAATAACCTCGAGCAAAAAATATAAAAGAAAATGTCTTATAATACTATGTACACCTCTTTGCTGTTAGTATATTGTACACAATAATTAATATCTGAAAGTTTAAAAAACTAAATAGAAACAAAAATGTTTTTTTATTCAGTGGAATATAACAGTTAACATTTGTTAATGAACACATTTATAAAGTTGATTTTTCTCTGCCTGTCTTAGAGTCGTGTTGTAGTGCTCAAACAGGGACAAGCCAGAATTAAAGTCGAACAAAAAAGCAAAGGAAACTCTACAACACTGTTATTCACACAAACATCACAATAATTAAGTCATTTGTACTCTGTTTAATAACTCTTATTAGTTGTGAAGCAGACAAAAACATTCAGGGCTTTTAACTTCTGCAACTAAAATATGGCCTACATGTCATGCTGAGGTCTTCCCCTTTTATAGTCTTAGTAAAACCCCAAGAAATACTATTTTAAATCCAATGGATTCAAAGTTGGACCCATAAGAGTGCCCATCACGGTGATCACCCTCCAAAACACCAGGCCCACTCACCTTTTCCCATGGCCGAGTTGTGTCTGTTCCCACCAGGCAGCAGAGAGGGGAAGCGGTTCACACAATAGCCACTTTTAGTGTACGCTGCAGTGGAACCCTTCAAAAGAAAGTCAAACACACACAACAAGCAGGGACATTAATGTTTATATGCTGGAGCCCAAAACAACACAGTTGAGCGTTCTTACTATGGCACGTTACTCTCTAACGTAAGCCTTCCTGTGTTTCAAGGGAGCGAGGCAGCTGCTGAGGAAACAGTCTGATTGCACGGTGAATATTAACACAGATTAAACTAACATCTGAACAAGATTCGGGAGGAAATCGGTTCCAGATTAACCAATCGTCTCTCTGACTTCAACTACAGCGGATCAAGCTAAAAACATAAATCATCTTTCCAGCACTGAAAGCAACACATCCAGTACATCTACAGACAGACGGCAAGAAGATGTGACACAATAGCACAAAGTGCCTGATTGTTAAGTGCAGCAAAAACACACAGATCTCTATATTTTTTACAATAAAAAATCTGACAGAAGCAAGTCAACAGATCGCTGAACTAAGCTGATTCTTAGTAGGATTGTTATCTTTTCTTTTTTGATCAAAACCACTCCACTGCAGCTCAGGTTCTGTGTTCCTCACTAAAAGACACCTTTCTCACAGCATCATACTTGTTGTTGTGGGTCAGCATTAAGAAGGTGTGTTCAGAGTAATGTGCAGCTGTAGTTTTTCAGCTGGGATTCGGTTTTGGACGTGGCCCAATTAATCTGGGTGGTTTCCTGTTAACGGATTCTTCAGTTAAAAACTATTAAATAAATTTTATGACTTTAACGTAATAAAATCAAACTGTATCTGTCCTTGTTTAGTCCTTTATTCACCAACTATCTTTACCAAAGATTTCATACCGATTTTAGTGAATCTACAGAAAGTGTTTGAAGTTGGAAACATTTCTGACATGGCAAAATAAAACAGACTGAAAAAAAACACACACCATTACTCAGGTAACTTTACTACCTATTAAGCGAAAAAAACAAAAAAAAAAAACAAGGTGGGAGTTATCCTCTAGTAACAAGAAGTTTGTGCCTTAAACATGAAAAACCTCAATACTGTTCTAGCTTCATAGAGGACTGGATGTAAAGCCAGGAGCTCTGTGAGAAATGCAGACAAACATATTCCAACAAATGTCTTGTGATGAATTAAAGTTCCCTTTAATAAGACCTAGCTGCTTAGTAAGCTGAAGAAACATTGAACATTCCTGATGGCTATAAAACGATTTCACATCCTCAATGTGGTCAAAGGGTTTCCTGCTCTATCTACCGACCAACTGTTTAAATCTGCTTCTAGAAGTTGGTTTAACTGTACATCAGCTGTTTAGAGAGCTCATATTTACAATACGGAACCTTAGCAGAGCATAGGAACAAGGAAACCAAGACCAAAGGAAAGAACGAAGAACAAACTAAGGAGAACATGTTGAACATTAGGAAGAACCGGCCTAACCACACTCCATTGGTCATCTACAGCTCAGCTGTAGAGGTGGTCAGCAGCACCAAATTCCTGGGGGTGCATATCACAGACACCCTCACCTGGAATGTAAACACCACCTCACTGGTCCAAAGGGCCCGGAAGAACACCTACCCCCCCCCACCACCACCACCATGGACTGTTCTTCCTGCTGCCCTCTGGAAAGAGACTTTGAAGCATTGTAGGGCCCTATAATTTCCACGATCACGGAATCGCGGAATTGGCAAATTAACGCAGAATCTAGTGTAAATGCGGAATTTCTACATTTGAAATGAAATTCTGTTTTTGTGTGGGAGAAGAACGTACGTCGGGGGGAAATGCACACCGGGGGACGCAAAACTGGGTGACACAACCCCTCCCGCTCCGTCATTTCTGCTCACCCTCCCCCATCAAAACATTGAAAAAAATGGCGAAGCGGCTCTCCACAGCTCCGCTTTCAGCGAAAAAGTTGAAAAACACGGGGCTAAGCCCTGAGTACAGAGCCGAGCAGTTCCCTCGTGACTTTTACGTGTCAGGTGAACTATTGTTTGGCAAGTTTTGTCAACATTCCATTGATTGGAAGCACAAAAATACATGCACTGACCACTGGTCATCCAAAATCCGTGTGAAGAACAAGGAGAAGTAGAGAGGTCCTATTTTATTTTTTTACTTGAAAAAGCTAATGGAGCACTTTTATTTATAACCATTGGTTCATAACCATTAATATTTTGTTAGTACTTAGAGTGCTGTGTTATGTTGCATCATGCAGTAAAAGTACTGAGTAAATGTGTTTTTTTACCTCAATACATTTAAGGTCATTCCTATTTTATTTGTGTACATTTTAATCATTAACATTAAAATCAAATTCTTTTTACGACTGAAATAACAGTAAAGGGTAAAAAAAACTGAATTCGCAAAAATCAAAACGGAAAAAACGGAATTTTCAAAAATTAAAACGGAAAAAACGGAAAAAACGGAATTTGGGGTAATTTGGGAAGTTGGCTCATATAACATCACAGGGCATGATGCAACAAGAACATCTGGATGCACATTAAAAGAAAAGCCCCCTCATATTCAGAATACAAACTTCTGAAAGTACTTTAACTATGAAATTATTCCATACTGTTCAATAAATTATAAGTGTTTTTAATCAAGAGTAATTTCATTTGAATTTGCTTTACTGATGTTTGTCAAAGAACACTACTGCCACCTACTGGTTTGTGACGTCACGGTGCGGTATCGGCTGTTGATCAAGTCCCAGTGATGTATCTGGTGTTTGTCACAACGCGCTATTATCCAAGTCATTTTGAAAACATTCTTCTTCCAAATGTTGGCTACATAATACGTGTTTTTTCTCTGGTCAGAAGTTTGATGGCAAATCCTCCCTCTTCAAGTTGGCAATCCAACGAAGAACCCGTCCATGGAGGATCAGGAATCAGAAAGGTGAAATTACAATTTTTTTCCCCCACTTTTACCCAATGTGTCAGTTTCACTATAGCTCTGGTGAATTTCAATGGTGAAGTCCTCTGGAAATCTTCAATAATTGTTGTTGATTGCAGATGTGTCTAGTAGTTCCCATTGATTTAGCTTGGAAAGCGGGGAGAATGGCGCTAGGCTTACCGCACCGTGATGTCACTGCTGGAAGATGGCAGGAGGGAGGGGTTACTATATTTGGGGAAAAATGGTCGACCGAGACTTGGTGATTGGGACGAAAATTATTGTTTTTATTTTTTTAACTGATAAACACTAAATTCATTCATTCAATCACAGCAAACTTATTAGTTTTAGGTTTAAATAATGATCCATTGATTATTCCTTGCTGACCAGACATTTCCTTCAAAAAAAAAAAAGTTTTAATGATTTATAAACAAACAGCCTTTATAGTGAGATGAAAACCTTTAAGGGGAAATGAGGAAGATGAAGTTTCATCTTTACTGAAGCCGAGTCAAATTTACAGGAATCAGGGTGGGAGTGGTGGCCAAGTGGTTAACCCCCAATTGCTCCCCGGAAGCTGAACATGGCAGCCTGTTGCTCCCCAAAGGGGGTTGGGTTTAATGCAGAGTTAATTTCTTCATTGTGAGATCAATAAAGTTCAATTTATTATTTATTTATTTGATTCCAAATTAAGAATCAATTTAGTTTCAAATCTAATTTGATCTGCAATAACACTGTGTGCAGAATTATTAGAAAAGTTGTATTTTTGAGGATTATTTTTATCATTGGCCCACAATTGTGTTCTCAATCAACCCAAAAGACTTCTTAATATCAAAGTTACATATTTTTGGAAGGTGATGCATTTTTTTTTTTTAGATTTGGCCATATTATGAAGTCTGTGTGTGCAGGTAAATATTACTGTGGAGAATTATTAGGCAACGTAATAAAAAACAAATATATACCCATCTTGTTTCCATCTCACTTAGAAATTTGTAACATTCAAAAACAGAAAAAAACAAAACAAAAAAAAACTGACCAATATAGCCACCTTTCTTCACCATGACGCTCTAAAGCCTTCCATCCATAGATTCTGTTGTTGTCTTGATCTGTTTACGATCCACATTGCGTGCAGCAGCCACCACAGCCTCCCAGACACTGTTTTCCCTGCCTGTAGATCTCACATTTCATGAAGGACCACAGATTCTCAATGGGGTTCAGATCAGGTGACCAAGGGGGCCATGTCATTATTTTTCTCCTTTTAGACCTTTTCTGGCCAGCCACGCTGTGGTGTATTTTGATGCATGTGACGGAGCATTGTCCTGCATGAATATCAGGTTTTTCTTGAATGATGGCAACTTCTTATTGTATCGCTGTTTGAAGAAGGTGTCTTCCAGAAACTGACAGTAGGTCTGGGAGTTCATCTTGACTCCATCATCAACCCGAAAAGGTCCCACAAGCATCTTTGATGATAGCAGCCCATACCAGTACCCCACCTCCACCCTGCTGGTGTCTGAGTGGATAAGGAACTTGCTGCCCTTTACTGATCCAGCCTGGTGCCCATCCATCCATCTGGACCATCAACACTCACTCTCATTTCATCAGACCAAAACACCTTGGAGAAATCAGTCTTCAGATATTTCTTGGCCCAATCTTGGCATATTGTCTTATCTGTCAAAGGTGGCCTTTTTTCAGCTTTCCTTACCTTGGCCAGGTCCCTGAGTATTGAGCACCTTGTGCCTCTCGGTGATCCAGACATGTTGCAGCTCTGAAATATGGCACAAGTTCTGGGTAATGGCTTCCTGGCAGCTTCACGCTTGATCCTTCTCAATTCATGGAGAGTTACTTTGCGTCTTCTTTTTTCAACACTTTTCTTGCTTCCCTGTTGGCCATTTGCCATGAACCGCTTGATTGTGCAATCATCCTGCTTCAAAAGCTTGGCAATATCCAAACTGCTGCACCCCTCTGAAAGACGTCTGACAATTTTTGACTTTTCAGAGTATGTTAAATCTCTTTTCTGACCCATTTTGTCAAAGGAAAGGAAGTTGCCTAATAATTAAGCACACCTTATAAAGGGTGATGATGTCATTAGGCCACACCCCTTCTCATTACAGAGATGCAGACCACCTGATTTACTTAATTGGTAGTTGGTTTTCAAGCATATGCAGCTTAGGACAACATGTATGAAAAGGATGATGTGGTCAAAATACTCGTTTGCCTAATAAATCTGCACACAGTGTAGATTACTGGTGATAAAAAAAACATTTTTGGTTGTTACCTGAATTACATGACTTTTTAGTTATGGAAATGCTATGAAGTTATGGAAACTTCTCCTGGAATCCTTATGCTGACAGCAAATATGAAGATCTTCATTTTAAACTTAAAGGTTCCTCCTTTAAGGTAACCTTCCACCCTTCTGGGTTCGTGAGGGTTGTTTTTTTTTTCTTACAAAAAAAGGAAAAGAAAAGTTCTTACTTTGGAGGCAACGATGAGAGATCTTTTCCCCACAGGACAGACCACCATTAGCCAGTCAGAGTCCAGATCTGATGGGATGTCCACCAGCCACTCTGAGAGCATGAGCTACAGGGAAGCACAGACCTCTTTAGTTCAGTAGCAACAGGACAGAAGAACAACTGGAGAACTCCACTGCCCTCTGCTGGACATTGCTGCTATATTGTATGCACTTCATCCCTGACCTGGTTAGCATAATGTTTGGGCAGCTTCTTCCTCTCTATCTCCATGGCCTCCTCGTCCTCTGTGCTTCCCTCCCCGTTCTCTTGTCTGTCCACCTCATGGTCCTCTCCATCGCTGTCTGCTCCCGTCCAGTCCCCATCAGCCAAGCGCCGAGCATGGTTGACATAGTTTAACCTTTTGCTGAGATTTCAGGAGAAAAGAGGATTAGCAAGTGGTCAGTCCTTCTGATCATTTTAAACTTTTTTTTAAATAAGACTTCCTGATTCTAATGTGAGTCTTCATCAGTTGAAATAAACCAGTATCTTAAAACAGAACGGTTAATAAATAATGAATTGAAATAGAGAAAATGAATCCTGGGATTTTTTTTTTTTTTTTTTTTACAGGCAGAATGATACAATTCTTCTTAATGACTTTCAAAAACAATTTGAAATTTATTTATTAAATTCTGTAATTTCTAAAGAAATATGGGGATGAAATTGGGCGTCCACTGGGAAAATATTTTCCCCAGCTGAACATACACCACATTCTGCATCCATCAACAAACGTCTAGTTTAATTACAGAGTTGATTCAAATTAGCTGGTTCACTAAACCTGATATAGGGCATGCTCATAATTGTTCAGCTGGGTTTGTGTTAATCTGGTTTCCCATTTTAACTCAGTTTTAACAATGTCTGAATCATTATTTTGCTGGAAGAGTATTAGAGTTAGAGAACCTGAAGGATGCCGTCCTCTCATTTTACATCTACCCTCTACCAGTAAAACAGCTCCACAGCATGAGGTAGCCAAGAAACATACCTGACAGTTGGTATAGTGACTAACTTTAAAAGTCGCACTGTTTAAAATAGAGCCCGACCGATGTGGGAGTTTGAAAGACAATGCCGATAGCGGGGGCTTAAAAAAAACCCAACAGTATTCCATATATTGGCCATTATCACATATTGCCAGATATCAGACATACATCAGCCAGAATATTAACAAAAAATCTTTTCATGGACATAAATACAGAGGATGTGCACTGTCCAACTATAGTCCAGCTCAAATTCTCATAATAACCAAAAATATGAATCCAGACGAAGAAACAGAAAATAGAATTAAAATAAGCTACTTTAATTTGGGCAGTGTTTACATAAGACTGTAAATACCATCCATTTTTGTGGTGCTGATTTAGGTATTGCCTTAAATTTATATATTTTTTTTTTTGCCTTGAAACGTTAACACCCCAGATGATACAACCAACATCTATTTAAACCTTCATGAAGTGACATGAATATATATATTGGGAATGGCACTCAGTACAAGATCAATAGAGGCCAGGGTCTACCACACCAGGCAGGACCCCGATGCAGACTGTGCAAAGATGCCTCTGAAACAATACAGCACATAACAGCAG